AGAGACACACACACACAGAGACACACACACATTGGCCAGTCTCTGGTGGTGCTGGCTCGCGGGACATGGTCGAACTTCATGTGGTTTGTTTTCAACATCGCTGATGATGCTGATCATGAATTGGTGGGGCGTTGTTCGTTCTTGCTCCTTAAGCGCGATGGGAAAGAGGAACCAGTCTTTGCATGCGGAGGATATGAAGGGGAGGTGGCTGTGCGAAGTCGATGAGGAACAACGACAACCGCAACGGCTGCTCGAGGAGGAATACGAGGAGGAAGAGGAGGAGGTGGTGGAGGAGGAGGAGGAGGAAGAAGAGTTGGGGGAGGTGGAGGGGGTTGTCTTAACTCCCATGGAGGCAGAACTAGAAGCAGCATCAGCAGCGTCATCATCGTCAGAAGCAGCAGCAGAAGAAGAGGGCCTCAAGCAGAAGCCTTGGTTCCCTCACCAAGCTAGAAGCTCTCTCGTTTATCGCTGCGGGGGTGACAAGAGGAGGAGATGGGCAGTCTGCTCATTCTCATTCGTTGCTTTCATCACCAATGTCATTGCCACAGGTTGGTACGACAATTTCCTAGCTACCCCTGTAATTCTTTTTCCCTTCTTTGCTTTCCCGAAAGGGCGATGGCCTTGAGCTATCATGATCGATATGATCTCCCCCAGGTAATCTAGAATGATCTTATTCTGGTCATCGGCTTGCGACTGGATTCGAACGTGGTCTGTATTTCAACAATTCGTGGGTGTACCAACTGAGCAAGGCCCGTTGGTAACCACCCCCTCTGTTTCACTACTTTATCTATCCAGATCTTATGATCGGGCCTAATATTTCGAGTATGGTTGCGATCCCATCACCATCACCCATCACCCATCACCCATCACCCTCACCGATCACCGATCACCCTCACCCTCACCCATCACCCTCACCCTCACCCTCACCATCATTATCATCGTCATCATCAATCGCTATCATCCTTACCATCACCAGATCCATCACCATAACCATCGCCATCACCCATCACCCTCACCGATCACCCTCACCCTCACCCTCACCCTCACCCTCACCCTCACCCTCACCCTCACCATCATTATCATCGTCATCATCAATCGCTATCATCCTTACCATCACCA